GCTGGTGTCTGAGAGCAGTGTGACTCCTCAGCTCTCCTCTTTAACATCCCCAAACTGCTCAGAACCCAATATTGCCTTGGAAAAGGCTCAGTTTTCCCTGATGCATTTCCTCTCACAGCTCTGAATGCCTCTACAGCACTGGCACCTCTTTGCCTCATCTTTTCTAATGCACACAGGAGGGGTTTGGCCTGTTCCCTCTGGCCCCTCTGAAACAATAGGAGGGGAGGTTTAGGAGAGGCTGAAGCCTTTGTTGATCTGTGCTTGGGTGCTTTGTCTTTCTGTGAGTGAAGCAACAAAGAGAGAGAGCAGGGTTTGTGAGGGGATCTGAGGAAGAACTGGAGGGAGGGAAGCTCAGAAACTTGCAGCAAAGAAAAGCTGGGCAGAGACAAATAAGTTAGAAAACTAAAATAAGGAAAGTTAGACATGACACAAAGAGAAAAAAGAATGAAATAATGTGGACTTGAGTGTGGCTTGGAAAGGAACCTAAGTTTAAGACTGAGCTCAAGGCAGAGTCATGTCCCACTGAGGTTTGAGTATCTCCAAGAATATTCAAACTGGGCTTTCACATCCCTTCCTGGGCTGTCCGTCCCAGTGCTTCACCCCTCTTGCTATAAAGAGGCTTTATCACTATGTCTGATGAGAATTCCCCTTCTTACAACTTGTGGCTGCTGCCTCTTGTGCTTTGGCTGTGCCACTGAGGAGACCCTGGGCACAGACCTCCTTGCAGGCCTAGCACAGGGAAGTAATGGTCTCCCTCCCCCTGGCAGACCTCACCCCCTGTGTGCAGCCTCCTCACTGTATCACTACTGGGCCTCAAGGGCAATGTATTGGCCCAGCTATGGCCACCCAGCACTCCGAGGTGCTGGTCCCCATGCTGAAGCCTGATGGCCCAGCTGGTCACCAGTGTTGCAGTCCCTGGCCAGTCCTGTCACAGTTTGACTTAGGTCCGACAACAATGCTCTCAATCCCCCCTCCCCCCAACCCAGGTAGGGAAGGAGAGAGAGGAAAAGAGAGAGACTTGGCTGGATTGAAAACTAAACTACACAGCTTTAATTAAAACACTAATGAATGATACAAGAAAATATATACAATTATATACAGATATATTCAGGTGTAGGCAAAAAGCCTCTCGCCTCCCCCCACCCCAGCAACTCCCACAGCACTTCCCTGAACTGGGAAGAGTCCTGAGGAATCCCGGAGCTGCTGCTGGAGAAAGCAGAGAGTTATGGGGGTCACAAGAGATCAAGCCTGAGGATCGACGGTGATGGATGAACAGAGTCCTCCCTGGACGCCGGCCATGGACGGAAGAGAAGGGGAGAAGAAGAAGGAAGGAAGTTGTCTTCTGTGATCTCTGACCTTCCTCTGAGCTTACGTAGATATATGGAATGGAATATCTTTGGCCAATTTTGCTGTCTGTCTAACTCAGCCTCCTACGGGGGGGGTCACAGATCTCCCCATAGTGTCTGAGCTGGCAGAGTGCAGGTGCAGCCTTGAAGCCTCAGTAGTTAGAAAAACATTCCACTGTCTTATCAGCCTAGCAGAACACACTGTTGCTAGTTACAAGAAAGCTCACTGAAGGAAAAAAAAAATCAGTAAAAAGAAAAATTGGCTTCATCCTGGCTCAAACCAGGACAAGTCCATAAGGCCCCAGTCAGACACACGGGTGCTAAGAGAAACCAGGACAAGAAAACAGGGAAACAACTGCTCTTCCCTCATCTGCAGGGAATAATCACTTCCCTTGAACCTATAAGTGTCTCACTGGGAATTTATTTGTGTGTGGGATTTTTGCCTTCTGTTTGCATTATGCACTTGTAAATGTAAAGACTATTAAGGTATGGTCATGAGTCATGTCAGGATGTAGCAGGCAACTTTCTCCAGCCATTTGCATGAAACCTTTTTTGGCGCTTTTTTTTGGCTTTTTTTTTTTTAACTACTTTGTGCAAGAAACCCAAAGGTACTTTGTGCAAATAAAAGGACAATGCTTCTGAAGTTGAGGCCCTCCTGATGGCTTTTGTTCTAAATTTTGGCCTAATTTCCTAAATCAAACAAACCAGAAGATAAAATTAGTTCCATGAACTGTGACACAAGGCACAACACAGGTCAATGGCCTCTGGTGAGAACTGGAGGTGTGATGAAAGTGGCCTGAGGGCAGAAGTATGGGGTTAGCAGTAGCTGGGTGATGTCACTGCTCCGGTATCTAAACTGCTTGTGCTTAATTAGGAGCAGGTAAGGATGTCAAAGGCCAGGTGAGAAGATTCTGTTCATCTAGGTAACAGTATTAGCAATCACGTGTGGAGCTGTAATTGTCCAGGAAATGACATAAGAAACACCAAAGTTTGGTACAGGAGTAGTAAATTTGGCATCAATGAGGAAAAGGAATTAGGAGCGAGTTGTTTATTTGGGGGAAGCTAGGGCAGAGGAAAGGAGATGCAACAGTGGTGAAAGGGTGGATTCAAGGAAAGTTAAAAATGGAAAAAAAGGTATAAAATGAAAGAGAGCAAGAAATGGGAGGGTCTTGTGACAGGAGGAGTGCAGCTGACTCCAGGCAGTGGTGAAGCTGCTCTATGGGCCCAGCTACACTCTCCACAATTTCTATGTCTGAAAGTCAGTGTAGGAAGGGGGAGTCAGAAGGGATAAAGTTTTAAGTAAGGATAGACTCTCACCTTAATACATGCAGGAGGCAAGGCAGCAGAATTGCATTTTCATAGCACTTACTAGTGAGTTTTAAGTTTTCTTGATAACAATTTAACCACTTTATAATAATGTAACCACTGTATCAATATAGTAAGCAGTAGAATTGTAACTCAATATTACTTGTAGTGATGTGATTGTGAAGTAATATTGCTAATAATAGTGCTATTTTTATTATCCAGTTAAGGTATTAGGTCTTTTTAAAAAGATATGTTGCCTAATCAATAAACATTAAAATCACGCTAATCATTTACATCTCAAATCTCAAAACTAATGGGGGAGAGGTGAACTTAGGGAGCAAGAAGTATAGTAGCAATACAGAAGACAAACTGATCTTGTTTAGAAGACTTTGTTAACAATTTTTTTTTAATTGTTCACCTAGTGCTTTTGGTGCTCTTGATGCTAATCCATGTATAGGAAGATACAATTACTATCTTGGCAATCTTACAAAAGTCTCTTTCTAAAGTAGGTGGAGACTTTCCTAGTATTGACAGTAGAGTGAAATGGGAGGGTGGAAGGAGAGAAATAAGGGCTGGTGAGCCATTGCCTAATTTTTGTATCTTCTTAAAGGCAGCTGCTTGACAGAGACTAGATAGTGTGAACTCCTGCATAAAAAAAACAAAACAACCCATACAAAGAAATAATCTCAGGTTGTTATTGGGCAGCCAGATTAAAAAATAATTTTAAAAAGGTGCTGATGGGGAAGACAGAGAATTGCTTATTGCCAATCTGATGATTCTTGATACTTGATATGAGTGATTCATGTTTAACTACCCTTATCAAGCCAAACTTGGGTCGCTTCAGGTGTTATCATTCTAGTTAGCTACTTTTTAGCTTTGCCTAATGTGGCACATAGTCCTTAAGGCAGTTCAGAAATAGCTGCATGCTGAGAGAATTGATCTTCATGCATTTTTATGGCATTTCACTATGATCCATAAAGCAGTTACAAAAGGCAACATACATCAGGGCATGGGATCTTTGTTGCCTCTTCCCCTGTCCCTTGGCCAATGGCAGTGGCTCTGAGGTGACACATCTCAACATATCTGTATCACAGCCATGTGAGCTTCCCTCAATTCTGGCTATTAGATAGAGAAATTAATTTATCTGAGTAACAATCTGCTCTAGACTTTATTTCTAGGAAGAAATACTAGCAACACACTGCTTGTGAGTGTTACTGGCAATCTGTGAAGAACGGAAGGTATGTCTTTGTGGACTGACTAGGACTGTGCCCCTGAGCTCTACCTTAAGAGGAGCTACTTAAAGCTCAGGTTACTCTATAACCACCTGGAGTTGGAAGCAGCTCCTGTGTACATCAGCAGAGCAGGACACGTCCCACAGCCATTGCATTCATTTCACACAGGTCACTAAACAGCACTGGAAAGTGATAGCCTTCAGCAGCAGCTCAAACAGAGCTTGCAGTGATGACAGCGTCTCTGCAGTGGCTTCTGCCAAGCCATGTGAGGCCATTTTAAGATTGTGTGTTTTAGCTGAATGTTCAGGAGTCACAATACGTGGGTACAGTTTGGCTTGGGAAATAACAAGATACAGCTATTGCTTATGAGGCAGCATTAATGCATTCTGGACAGTACTGATTCAGTAGAAAATATAGTCCTTTTAAGTTGCTTTTAAGCTAACTGTCTCAGATGAAATAGTTCAGATGTGTGACAGACTGGGAGAAAGTGCCAGCAGTGAATACATGGTAAAAGAAACCCATTTCCATGGATACGCAATGCTGCCCACATGGTCCCACCAATACTACAGCCTGGGGCTCAGAAAGCTGCCCAGCCAGAAACCATTAATGCAGTGCTTCGGCATCTCTGCAGATAGTTAACCAGCTCCCTAGATCCTGCCACAGTGAAATGATGAACGTCCAGGTGAGGCTTATTGAACGAGAGCAGAGGATACGCAGTTTCTGTAGGTAACTGGGAGTTACCTCCATTTGACGTGCCTCGTTTCACAACCCACACTCCTACCCTTAAAAATACGTTTCACCCACAGAACCATTACCTCACAGCCTTTTATTTCCTTTTCTTTTTGGCTGAATCTTCTAACCTACTTAACCGAACCAAAAAAAAAAAAATTTCCCCCGCAGGCTCTTATCTCTGGTTCTAGCACCAGGAAGGAGTGCTGGGGCTGCACTGGGCACGATGGAATTTGCCATGGGGAAACCCGCTGATGACAGTGGAATCCGCCCGCCTGTGAAACCCCAGGGCTCCCACCACCCCTTTATAAGCAGGTGGAGGTGAGGCAGGGCTGGCAGGGTGAACAGGCAGCAGCTGAGCACTCGCTGAGGCACAGCTGTAGAGGAGATGGCTGGCTTGAGGAACAAGAGCTTGGTCCTGGCTTCCCTGCTGGGGCTCCTGGCGCTGCTCCTGTGCGGCAGCTCAGAGGGTGAGCGTGCCCAGCCCCGTGTGGTGCCGGCCACGCCGGGTGTGCCAGGGAGGGGTGGAAGGGAATCATTTCAGCACAGTACTCTGCCTTTATCCTTCTCTGCTGTTGATGGGGAGCTGGGTAGTCAAGGGCTAAACAGCTGAGCAGGGTGCTCCAAATGGGTTTTATTTACTTTGTGGTTTTGCTTCATTCCAGCACAAAGCAACCAGGATTGCTGCCTGTCTTACACCAGAGTGCGTCTGCCTCGCTGGGCCCTGAAGGGCTACACTGAACAGCTCTCCACTGAAGTCTGTGACATCCATGCCATCATGTAAGTTACTTTTTGGAGGTGCCTCTGTTTTTTCTGACATGTATTAACTGTAGGATGTCTGTGTGAGCAGAACCAATGATCTGGACATTATAAGCATGACTTTTTTTTTTTTTTTTTCTTTTTTAAAACATTAAATTAACTGAATAAATTATATATAATATCTGTGAACAAAAAGACAACAACAGGTTGACAGGGACTGCTAACTCACCGGACAGCCATACAATGCAAATAATAAATCCAACTGTTTAGGAGTCAGCTGTGCAAACAAAGACATGCTCCAGTTCTAGCCAACACAGGGTGTTCCACTGCTGAACCCGTTAACAGACACATAAGCAACAAGATTTTCTTAATTTACAGAGATCGGAATGTTTTTTCCACAAGGCTTTAGCCCTCCTAAATGCTGATCTGTCACCTTAGGTTGACAGCAGCTATTCTCCTTAGTCCCACAAATTATATCCAGCATGTAGTGAAGTTCTTTGTCTTAGTTCCAGTAATTGAACACAACTCGATGGTGCAAAACAGGATCCCTGAGACTGAAGCAGCTATTATAGGTCTGTCTTTTTGTTCATATAGTCTTGGAGGGGTTGTGGAGCATCCTATATCTACCTGGCATTTACAAAGGCAGTTGCTATTGTTTATTATATAGAGTATCTATGTTGCATGTTTTTGACCAAATGCATCTTCATAGTAATTACTAGCAGGGATTTTTAATGATTACCAATCTCTTTATCATTATCTCTTTTCCAGTTTCCACACCCACAGTGGACTGAAAGTCTGTGTAAACCCTAAGGAAGGCTGGGTGAAGAAGCATCTTCTTTTCCTGAGGTAGGAACATGTAAATATTTATAGGCTGATGAAAACAGAGCATGTATGGAAGCTTGTTTCTTACATCTCCTGAATGCCACTTCTGATGGCAATGATTGACACATTTGTCTTTTCGTCTTCTTTTAGACATGGCTGTTCCTTTTTCGAGTCTTATCAGGGACAGCCATGTCACACATCCCTTTTTCTACCTGACCTGTTTTCTCAGGAGGTGCTATATCTTGGAAAGAAACCTATCATTGACCTATGACTGAAGTAATTATTTATGTGTGTTCTCTCATTCTTTAACAGCCAGAAGCTCAGGAAGATGTCAGAGTGATACGGTTTCCAGCAGGGAACTAAATACAGACGTGGCTGAAGAACCGCTAGGTTCAATGTCTTGGTTGAGGTTGTTGCCTTGTACACTGTTGTGTGCTTACTCACTGCTGTCTCTGGCTTCTTTGGAACCGTTGAACTTCTTGAGTTGATTCATATTGCATCAACTGTTTTGCTTGTATTAAGCATTTTGTTAAAGTTTCTATTTTTACTAATATGCTTATGTTACTAGCATGAGTACTATGCAGAGTATTAATTTTATTAAGTTTATTGCATGTTATATTTGTTCAGCCTGTATAAAGTGAGTTATTTATTCTGTTTATTACTTCCTTGGTACTGTCTTGTGCCAAAAGGTTTCCTTTTAACTGTAGTTAGCATTATAACACTTCTTAAACTATTGTTAAAGTCTGTGGAAAAAATGGAAGCTGGACTTAAAAAAAAATAAATGTTAAAATCTGCACTCTGTAGTATGTTTATTTTTAATGGAAAAAGGTGACTTCCCATTGAAATTAATTCCTTTGTTTATGAGCCTCCAGCTGAAACAATTACACAAGTGCATTGGCACCTGTTAAAGCCACTGTTCACTCTGCTTACTTTGTTTGCCCTATGTGGGTAACTACAACCTCCATCGGATAGAATTCCTTCCTCTCCCTCAGACACCAGCTATATGTGAAGATTTTTCTCAACATGAAGACCTATTCATAGCTCAATTTCATCTTAATCAGACTTGAGGGAATTTCTCTGGCCAGTCTCCCCTTTTGTTCAGGAGCAACATTAACACACACTGTTATAGGACAAGCTTCTAGCTCATCCCCTGAGAAGGACTGTGATTATGGTAACACAGTCTGCTCTCAGCTTGAAGGGCTATCTCTAGAGGGGACACGTGCCAGTGCTTTCTTCCCCTTTACGCATTTGCTATAGAATCCTATGACTTCTGGCATAATGAGATTTTCCTGATGCAGGATCTCTCAAGGGAGGCCTGCAGACACTGCTGCAGTACAAACAAAGCCTGATAAAAGAAATGGGACTTCATGGAGCAGGTAGGACGTGGGTGTAGGATGAATAGGGAAGGCTGCTTAGCTTTTTAGGTACACTTACGTGGCCCACAGGGACTTCAGGGATGTGACCAAGTAGGCTTTGTAGGTGTAGTCCTCTTATTGTCAGCACCAGAGTCTTGCAGGTAAATCTACACTTCGGCTTTTGGTACTTTTTTGACTATAGAGACAGAAGTATTAATTTTAATATAATTTAAAATGTAACTGTAAAGCATTTTTCTGTCCTTGAGAGAGGAGCTAAGAGGCACTGGGTTTTCTAAATGGTGTGCATGAGTGTAAGCTTTGCAAATCTGGGAATTGCCAGTTCTCTGTGGGTAAGCCTCTGAAGGATCAAGATTAATTTGCTTTAATTTCCAACAGGTGGATTCCAAATTCCTGATATTAAGGATGTAAGCTAAGGAGCTATCAGCCTTCCCAGGGAGGAGAAATCACCCAGCATGTTCCCTGGGGATTCCCAAAAGTTCTGGGCCAAACTGCAGAGCTCTGCATCATACCTGCCAGTACCAGTGTGGGCTCCTCCAAGGGCTCAAAAGAGTTTGCAGGCTAAATTGGGCACCAGCAAAATGGTGTGGACACAATGAATGGATTCATGTTAAAAGTGTCAGAAGATGAGTCTCTCCAAGCCTACCCTGAGAATAAGTAAGCATTGGTAGAGGTCTTTGGAACCAGAGCTATGTATGACCTTGATGCAGAAAAACCTGAAGTTCTAGCAAACTCAAAGCCAGGGAGCACAGTAAGAAAGTGAAGATCAATGTGTGAAATTCTGTGGGTGGCTCTTTGTATTCCCAGGTTGTGCCTGTTGAAAGTTTTGTATTGCTTCTGCAACTTGTGCTTCCTCTTGTCAGTCATGACTCCATTGCCACAAACACCCAGATGCCTCATCCACAGAACTATGACTTGTGGGTTTGGTTTTTTTTTTTTAGTTCCTCTTGTTCTGGTTGAATATTTTTTCATAACCAGCCTCAGCAGAGGGAAAAAATAATACATTGAAAGTCGGTTTCTATGGTCAGTAGCATAGATTGATAAGGTGGTTATAGCACTGGTAGGAAATTCCATGTAAAAATAGCATGTATCTCCACGCATTCCTAAGGATACAAGAACGTATTATAAGTGAATGCTGTGTCTCCAAAATAATCAGATTTGAGGCTTCCTTTTGTGAATAAATAAGCTTAAGTGGCCAGTTAAAAGTTCTTTCAGCTCTGAAAATCATTATCATTTCTGAGAAACACTTAATGCTGATTACTTCTGGGCTATTCTGTGTTTGTGTAGGTAAGCTGCTTTTTCCTCAATTTTGTTGAGTAATTTGATATGCAGAAATAGATGGTCATTTGTGGGACTTTCTTCCCTTCATACATACTAAAAAAAGTAATTATTTTTTGTTGTAAAATACCAACTACACTTTTTATTGAATCTTGGATATAATTTGGATAACAAGTGCAAGAACTTTCCCTTCAAAGTCTCAACACCACTTCATACTTCAGCTTCCAAGTCTCCTGCTCTTGCTGTATTGAGACCAGTCCCCAGTGATTTATGTGGCTACTGAGGTTTTATTACTGAATCCTATTTTTGCATATTTTTTCTCTGTTTTTCTTTTTCTTCTTTTTTAATTGCCTTTTTTTTTCTTTTCCCTGAAGTAATCTCACACCATTCCCAGTCAGGGCATTCCACCATTTCCTTAGCTTGGTATCTCTGCCACAAACTTTCTAGTACTACATGGAATCATAATGAGATCATAATGAGATTTACTCATTTCTTAATATTTTTTGTCTCTCCAGTACAAAGCAGTATGATTGCTGCCCTTCTGACACAGAGAAAAGTGCCTCCAAGGGCTCTCATTGATGACACGGAGCAGCTGGCAGTAGAAGTCTGTAGAATGCTATTGTGTAAGTTACCAATTTAAAGCAATCAAGTAGTATCATAGAATCCTAGGGGTTGGAAGGGACCTTGAAAGATCATCTAGTCCAACCCCCCTGCCAGAGCAGGATCACCTAGAGTACATCACACAGGAACGCATCCAGGCGGGTTTTGAATGTCTCCAGTGAAGAAGACTTCACAACCTCCCTGGGCAGCCTGTTCCACTGCTCTGTCACTCTCACACTAAACAATTTTTTTCAGATATTCACCTTGAACCTCTTATGCTCCAATTTGCACCCATTGCCCCTTGTCCTATCACTGGTCATCACTGAGAAAAGCCTAACTCCATCTCCCTGACACTCACCCCTTACATATTTGTAAACATTGATGAGGTCACCCCTCAGTCTTCTTTTCTCCAAGCTAAAGAGACCCAGCTCCCTCAGCCTTTCCTCATAAGGGAGATGTTCCACTCCCTTAATCATCTTTGTAGCTCTGTGCTGGACTCTTTCAAGCAGTTCCCTATCCTTCTTGAACTGAGGGGCCCAGAACTGGACACAATACTCCAGATGCGGCCTCACCAATGCAATGTATGACCCATATTGGTTAGTACTGACCAGTGCATGGATTTGGATCTGTTCTTGTCTGATAGGGAATTGTCCTTAAATACTATACTTCTTCAATCTATGTATAGTCCTGTGGAATGATCTATATAGAAAAAGGCAGACAAAGAGGATGGCTCTTAGTATGCATTTTTATCCATCACTGCACAATATGTGTTAAAAAACCAGTAGGAGTTAACAAAAAGCAGGAGATTGATGATAAAAATCACAGCATTGCACAGGCAGCGATTTTTGTAAGGAATAGCAAACCTTCTGCTGATTTAATTTTGCTGTTAAAATATAAAACCTGCAACATCTCATCTGCTGGACAAGTTATTTGCTGATTTACTGTTCAGTTGATGATAGCTCCTAACGAGCAGTTGAAGACTTTTTTGTTGCTCATCTCTTGGTTTCTCTGCCTTCTAGATAAAGGGGAGTTGTAAAGCCTGTGCAAATCCAAGATGGAAATGGGTGAATGCCCTTCTTGGCCTGTGCTATTCATGCTTTCAAGTTTGTTATCTCACTGAACCCCAGGCATTACTGGGTGTGCTTAGTGACAAGGACACTTTTTAGTTCTTTCATAGTAGTGCTGCTAATTGGTCAGCTATTTTCAATTCTCAATACCAAGCAGCCAATGTGTTACTAAACTCCTCCTAAGGAACCGGAACACACTCCAGCTGAGAAGTGAATCGGGGAATTCGTGAACCAAGAATGGCTTTAGGCTTGTGACACAGTCACTTGGTTTTACAGGCATACAGCCAGCTGGATAAACATCTAAACATTGCGGATGATCAATTGTATGCTGAGCTCAGCTGTGTTACACCCTCTCAATCCTACTCCAAACACCAGGCTACAGACAATACCCCTTGCCAAAATATTAATCCTAAAAGAAGTTTTGAGTCTTCAGACTAAACCCAGTGCATTGTGTATGCTATGTTTACTAAATGACTATGGTTGTATGACTGTACATAAAAACTGTGATCTATGTTCCTATGATCCTGTGATTCCTCTATTCCAGGAGGTGTCAGCCTTAGCTGCCCGGCAGTGCAGTCCTATCTCTGCTACAGCTTTTTAAATTGCTGTGTTGGTTTCTTCTGCGTTATCAATTGCAGAGAACTTCCAGTCAAAGCTCACTAAGGGTTGCTGGCATTAGAACATTTAAATACAATATACAGCAGATAGAGTGCTGTGGTTGCTATTATATATTAAGCATAGTGTATTGCTCATGTAGCTACTACTGTAAATAAAACCAGGCAATTGTTTAATAGCCTTTTAGCTTCCCTGGATGAATACCATTATTCAAAGATTATGCAATCCAAAATACGTATTTAATGTAAATGCATCAGATGAAACTTAGAATACTGTATGCTTAAAAAGCAAGTATGTCACAGGAAAAGTAGAGACTAAAATACTATGGTTGCTATACTTAAATTTAAAATGGCATTTCTATAGTTTTACTTATATGAATTCAGTTTTACCCCAAAAATAAAATACAATTTTTATTTGTAATCATCTGCACTTACATTTCCATGTTCCTGAAATTTTTCTACTCTTTCCTAACTTTAAATGGCTTAATTAATTAAATTTTTTTTTAAACTCTTCATATCAATGAGACAATCATTAGTCTGGGTTGAGATTCCTTGAAAAAACAGATGGACACTACAGACTGCATAAGGAATTGTGCAGGATACCATTGCAACAGCAGTCCTGT